TTTCTCGCATAATGTGAATAGAAAAACAAGATGTATCGTCGAAAAAAATAAGGCAAAATTTAATAGTTGTCTAGTCAAACCTGAATCTTTATTATTGGAATGATTTATGAAACAATAGAGATAATAATTCTTGTTACTGTTAATAATGACTGAGTTGAACATTGATCATTAGGGGTATGACAGTTCAGTTTTAGTTCCTATCAAAAGAACTATTCAGACAGTTCCTTAGATCTGATCTGTTCAGACAGCTCTTTCGTTCATTTAATCTGAACTTAGATCTGAGAACTGTTACACCCCTATTGATCATAGACATTTTGTTTTTGAAAATCAAGTCTGCAACCGTTTCAGTCATTTTCTTGACTTTTTCTTTCGAAAAATTGATGAGTGAGATTCTAACAATCAGTGTAGTGAGCGTTATTTGATTGGAAATTATGATCACTCGATCGCCTAAAAGTGTATCCACGAATCAAGTTTTACATCTTGAGTTTTTTATTGTTTTAGAGCAATAAAATTTCTATCTCTCTCTCTCTCTCTCAAAATGGGCAATTAATCATTTACGATTGACTGATATCATCAAATAGAATAAGTGTTTCTCGATGTCAAACAAATTCGAATTATCACACCAGTAAAAATAACTGCAGATATGTACTTAGATCAGTCCAGAAGTAGTTACAGAGGTCTGATAATCGTTCAAAGGAGGATTCGATCATTTTTTTCCTATACAGTGTGATAGAGAAAAGAAAACTCTATTTTTCTATGCTATTTGATCTTATTCAGACTAATCCTATGATAATAGAATTTCTATAAGATTTGTTTTTGTCGGACGTGCGCTGGTCGCACTATATCATATTCTGTGTTCCATACTCGTAATATTCTTCCCATTCTTAAGGGTGTAGGTATTTTGTTCCTATGTACTGCTCTACACCCACATCCTAGCCATCTCATTGTCTAATTCTGTTTTATCTTGTTTGGTCTGTTTGGGGTCTAAGTCTCGTCTGTTTTATATTTTTTCACATTTCCTGCATCATAGTTGCTTCAATAAGCGGTCACGACCTTTAACCTTAACCCCCGTGACCTTGATTCTACTTTTTGTTATTAGCTAACAGAAAAGTTCATGATTCAATACTCCAGAGAAAAAGCAATAGATAATATGTATAGTATTGGTCATCGATTATTCATTGTTTGAGGTCATCGAATGAATATAAAATGAGACGTGCTGCTTTCCATTCTTGTGAGCACAAATATTTTCGAAAACATGGAACAAAGTATTGATTGTTGTCCAACAAAGCGACTAAGAACAACTTACGAAGAAAGTAAGATTTTCCCTTGGCTTATCTAAATATCGAATGCCATCTGAATTTATGCAATACAGATTCTTGTTCAACATTTGAATGTCTCTCGGGCGAGCTGATTTTCGATATTTTCGAATATTTCAATATGAAAGAAATTTTTCAATCTTTCTCCAATCTTAATTCATTCATCACATCATGCATATTCGACCGACGCCAACAACTACATTTGCATCTTGATCATGAAATGCCTTTTCTTCTGGATAACGATCTTTCCAATCACGTGACGTCACTCTACATTGATCGTATTATTATTCCAATTGGAGCATTTCTTAATCTTAAATTACTTACCATCGTCGATGGCAATGTGTGCGAAGATCAATGTCTCAATATGATCAATGAGGTTAGACAAAATTTTCATATATATAGTGTTGAGAATTAAGAATTCACTTAGAACCTTTGAGCCATTACATGAAAGTTAAAATTTTTTCCATATTATGGAGAATCTTAGAGAAAAAAATTCTTTGTTCAATTGTGAAATTTAAACTGTGATATCATGAAGTGAGAATCAGAAAGCACTAAAAAAAGTGATAAAATAAATAACAAAAGCTTGTTAGCGCAGCCCCTTTGGGGCTAAAATGTGGAACTCACATATATCCCTTCGGCTTACTAAAATAATTCAAAATAATTCATCTGAAAAATCTACCTGATTTTCAAAACCTATAATTAGATCATTGCCTATTTGCACTTATGTCTGTAATTGAGTATTAATTGTTAGCTCGTATATTTAACAATGGCAGAGGCTAGTTACTATGGTCTGTAATGGTACCCTTAGCTAGTTACTATGGTCTGTAATGGGCAA